ATAATTATATATGTTAAAATATTCAAATCAGACCACATCAGAAGGATCCAGATCAGATCAGATTAGAACTTAAAAAATTCAAATCAGAAACATTCAGATCAGGTGAAGAGAACCGCTTCTAAGTCTTGTTTCAATTAAAGCTGATGAAGCGATAAAATGACAAATTATAGTATTCTATTGTTTTACATACTCCCGAAATCATCATTATCAATGTTGGGCGGCTACTAAATTTTCGGCATGTCGTATGAAACTGGGGTTATAGGGTCAGATATGCGTATCCTTTCACGGATACGAGTATCGGAAGTATTAGTATTTCTAAAAATAAGCCCAATACTTTTATTAAATTACGGATACGGATCCAATACGTACATGACACGTATCGGTGAGTACCAGTATCGAATACGTATCGGATACGCGGATACAGCATCAGGGTGAAGTATCGATGCACAATAGCCTAGTGGTACATGTAATAAAGTATTTTCATAAGAATAAGAAGTGTGTGTGTGTGTGAGAGAGAGAGAGAGAGAGAGAGAGAGAGAGAGAGAGAGAGAGAGAGAGAGAGAGAGAGAGAGAGAGAGAGAAGTTAATGAATAGGGCCCATCCCTATTCAAGGTTTGGGGTACTACTCTTCCGTCTATTTGGGATATTTTTGGATATTTTCAAGGTTTTTGATTTAGAGTCCATTAGGTAAATGGAATTAGCTGAATCAGTATATTTTGTTGAAATTTATGAAATTTTGTTTGAAGTGGCTGAATTGACTTATTTTGTTGATTTATGAAAAATTATATTTAAAATACATCTTATTAATAAAGCAAATAAAAAATTATACAAAAAATAGCTTATATTGTCGTCTACAATAACTTCAGACAATTCAATTATAAAAGTAAATTCAACATTATTTATTTTGATTATTACACATTTCAACACGTGAAATTAAAAATTGTGCGTTTGGTAAAAAGGTTGAACGATAAAGCTGACAAGCAAAAAATAGGTCACCATATGGCTCTTATTATGTTGGAAGTTGGAATTGACCATATGGCTAGTAATAATGAATCAACCATAGTTCGAATTATTATAAATAGATATCATTTTTAACCATATGACAGTAGGAGATCGATCATGAGGGACCATTATTGATAAATGACCACTATAGTTGGTGTGATTCGGAATAATCGATAATTGAGATTATTAAAAATGGATCGTAATTTGTATATTACGAGGCCGTTTGGTAACACTGAAATTGACTGAATCGGTTAGATTTAAAATAGTTTTTATTAATAAAATAAAGAAAAATTATATGAGAAATAGTTAAAATGATCTTCTACGGTAAATTCAGCCAATACATCCAGAAACGTAATTCCAACTTGACCTTTTCTTATTATTATTACATAACTCGGTGCGCGAAATCAAAAATTACGTGTTTGATGAAAACGTTGTCGATAAGTCTGATAAGCCAAAAAACAGGGTCACCAAACGGACTCTACATTATTACTATGTATTATTATTATTATTATTATGATTACTCCCTCCGTCCCAATTTGTAAGATACTTACGGTTTACGATGTTTGATCGACGATAAAGCAAATTGATCTCTGTCAACACTCAAATTAGTTTTAGAAAATAAAATTTACATATTCAAAAACTACATTAAAACTGCTACAAAGTTTGCAAAAAATAATTCCAATTTCATAAGCTTTTGATATAAAAAGTAAAAGATTAAGAGTGATTTATGTTGACCAAGTGAATAGTAAATGTATCTTACAAATTGGGACTGAGGGAGTATTATTATTATTATTATTATTATTATTATTATTATTATTATTATTATTTTTATTATTATTATTATTAGGGAGTTGTGAAGCATCTAGAGAACCTCTACCTAAATCAATCAAATAGGCAAACAATAAATTAAGAATAATAATTGTAATTTGATTTAGGTGAAAGTTGATGTTGGGAAAAGAATGCGTGGGGTAATTAATTAGTACAAGTACTTGTAGGTTTGGTGGAGTCAGAGCCGGCTTTATGGCCATTTAGGCCAGGCTTGTGCCTAGGGCCTCCAAAATTTTAGGGGCCTCTATTTTTTTTTGTTTGCCTATTACTATTATAATTAAAAATTAATCTTTGAATAAAATAATTGAAGTTGAGCTCACGCAGAAGTGAAAACACAGTACGCAGGTTATATTCTATCGATCTTCCGTCAATTACTTGTCTAAATTAATTTGTTACAGCTTTGCTCAATTGCTCTTTACCGATGTAGCTTTTATGGCGTTGTAGCTTTTTTACTTTTTACTCTTATACTCCGTATTTAAGAAACTGGCAGGGGACTCTCAAACTAATTAAGAAGTAAATAAACTGGCAGGGGAGCGAGGGACTAAGGACGGCTAGTTTAATTGTTTAAAAGTTAAATTTTTTTTACTATTTACTCCGTATTTTAAAGTTTCCTACACTTTTCTTTTTGGGATGTACTTAAAAGTTCCATACACTTCCATTTTTGGTAAGTTTATCCTTTATAAAATATCCTTATTTTAAATTTTCCTACACTTTTCTTTTTGGGATGTACTTAAAAGTTCCCTACACTTCCATTTTTGGTAAGTTTATCCTTTATAAAATACTCATCAACTACCCTACTTTATCTACTTTTTATCTTCTCTTTCATACTTTTACACACTCTCCTACACTTTCTATACACTATTCACTATACTTACTATTATATCCTAAAGTTTTGTTCCAAAAGCAAATGTAGGGCGTAGGGAACATATTAATACTGAGGAAGTATGTCTTTAGACTTTCATTTTAGTCTTTTTTAAAAGTTAAAACTGCTCATTTGCACTAGTAAGTTATGGACTAGTGAGGACAGAGGTTTAGGATTGGTGGCACTAATAGTTTGCAGTTTTGCACTAGTAAGTTTAGGACTAGCGTTTCTCTTAATTATTAATATGTATTTTTATACTTTTATAAATATTTTAAATATGTAAGTTTTGTAATTTGTCATGACGGGTAAGCGAAAATTTGATTCCGGTTCTACAAAGAGAAAGAATAAGTTGAGAAAGGATCCGGTTATTAAATCATTTGTCGGGTCTATGGATCAGTATATAAAGACAGTTCCTTCTTCCTCAAACGTACACGTACTTGAGAAAGGACCGGGTATTAATTAAAAAGGACATTATTACTTTATTAGTGTATCTTATGTATGTTAAATTTAAAACTTTATTATTTTGAAATTCACAATATATGTTGTTTTTGCACTTATTTTATCTTTTTTTTTTCTTGATTGTATGTCTTTTATACAAATTACATTGATATGATATTATGATATGTTTTTTTAAAGCTTTTGTGAAGCTTTTCCGCCTAGGGCCTCCAAACCGCTGGAGCCGGCCCTGGGTGGAGTTTGTTATTTGGCATTGTAAATTTGTAATGCTGCGAGGAAGAGCTCAGGGAAAGGGGAATTAGCAAACACTAGTATGTATTAATCCCACCCCGTAAATAAAGAAGAGCACAAGGCGAGAAGGAGTTTATAAAAGCTGAACTAGGCACAACATAATAGGCGATCAAGAAGGTCTATGGCTTAGGTTGATAACTTTCATTGCACTTTGAAAGGGTGTCATCCTAAGATCTACCCAAATGGTGGAATCTACGTCATAATTTGTGTTAGTTGGGGTCTGCGTTCGCGTGGCCCCTACCTAATTACTAGTCCAAATTTTTAATTTTGAACCTTATGGGGTGTTCTTTTAGAGAGTATTTAAAAGTCCCATGTCATTTTAGGACTTTTAAAATTTGAGTGTATTTAATTGAGACATTTAAAACAGAGTTGGAAAAAGCATTGGTGTATTTAAAAGTTCATCAAAATTTGGATTGGATTTCACAACCAAAATGGAAATTTTATTATCAAATCTCGTGTACTACGTATATACATAGTACTTGAGATTTTTGAGACATGTCAATTGTCAAGAACTGCACTTCAACCATGATATTTCCTCTCCTCCCTATCGCGGTCCTGCTCTTCTTCCCGTCTCACCTCTTGCTATGCACATTTGAAGCATCGCTGTGGGGCTTCTCATCCAGAGTTCCACGGGTCAGACCACCTCCGGGTTCGTTGCCAATTACTCAGACGATTCCCTGAAGACCGGTCGGCGAATCCCGAGTCTATCTGCCATATCTCAAAACTTCATTGACGAATCCCTGTTGCAGCCTACAAAACTCCAACCAGAATCCTAGTATATGTGCAATTGTGCATTGGTCGAACTCTAGTCCCTATCTCGTGATTTGGGGAAAGAAACTGCCTAGTCATACATTAGGAAACTATCCCTCTTTTACTCATACGTGTGTTAATTTTCTCATATATATACATGGGTGTGTTTAGGTCTAGACCCTCGGAGTTTTCAACATATGCATGTAAAAAAGCAACTAACTATAAACTGCCTTGCTCAGACTAAACCGAGCGATTTTCAACAAATAAACATGGCAAAAGTATACAGTAAAAATTGATAATAATAAATTCATCTTGTAGCGCTCTTCTCAAAATAATCTCAGCTAAAAAAATTCTCATAATAATCTAATCTTAGTGCCCAAAAGTAGAAAAAACTAAAAAAGAATACCATTTTCACTTGAATTGACCATAACTCATGAAATGATTCGTTTGTTTACACAAAGATGTATGAATAATAGGGCGTTTGGCAGCACTGTTTTTCGGCTTATCAGGCTTATCAGCCAACTTTTTCACCAAACGCGTAACTTTTACTTTCGCGCGCTGAGTTGTGTAATAAGCAGAAAAAGTAAGGTTGGAGTTACACTACTGGCTGTTTTGGCTGAAGCCACTGTAGATTACCATTTTAGCTATTTTTACATATAATTTTTTCTTTATTTTATTAATAAAATATATTTTAAAAATAATTGTTTTTAAAATCAGCAGATTCAGCCAATATAGCCACTTCGGCCAGAACTTAAGAAATTTCAGCAGAATCAACCAAAACAGCCGATTTCAGTGCTGCCAAACGGGCTCTAAATGTGATTGACAAATTGCTGGTATTTTAAAACAAACCAATAAATTACAGAAACACCAAACAGTCAAACAAACGAAAAACCTTTTTCTTGGACAAACAGTTAACTACCTAGAACAACAAGAATAAGCCTTGTTCTTGTTCTGCTTCAATCCATCATCATCATATCCATTACTATTATTATGACCAAGGCTGACTCTATTGACAGATAACTCTGCTTTATACGAATCAGAGTTCAAAACCTTTCTGCTAACATTGTTATATATCTCGCGGATAACAATCTCAAAAGCCTGTTTTACGTTTGTGGAATCTAGCGCGGACGTCTCCATAAAGAACATCCCTTCAGCTTCTGCAATGCTTCTCCCCTCCTCAACACTTACAGCCCTTATGTTGTTCAGGTCACATTTATTGCCCACTAGCATCCTCGCAACAGTTGTATCAGAATGAGCTGCATCGCCATTTGGTTTTTAAGTCAAAGATCAAGTTGACCAGAAAAGTGTGAATGAAAAAAAGCATAGGGAGAAACCGGGATATGAAATGATTGGGGACTCAACTCCACACTTGAAGTGTGTGTGGAGGGAGATGAGCTAAAGGCACATGGGCAGTCACTTTTTGTCATTTTCTCTCAGTCTCCTACTATATGGACACTCTCAAGTCTTAAGGGGGGATTGTGAGGACAATATAGATAAATTTTGAAGGAAAGAAAATTTGATGGAGAAAATCCAACTGGTTCAAAACTCATAAATCTATTATAGATGTGTGTTCTATCTGGTTTGGTTTATACTATTCTAAATTGTAAAGACTTGAAAACCAAAGGTCTAAATTGATTTTCCCTTCATACTTCTAAGGTAAAATCAAACATAATCACCAAATGTTTTTATTTTTTGTAGATACATATTTTTATATAAATGGTCTTATGAACCTCGAGGTATATGCTGTTTTCTCCCAAACACTCGTTTTTACTATTCTAATTTTCCTAATGCTGCAATTTTGACTGCCCCAATTCACCACCATCACTCTAAACCGTTCCACCTCACACCTCTGCAGCTTTGCTACAAGAATAAATCTTATGGAGATTGAAAGTCCTGTGCAATTTGAATTTCAATTGGAAACAAGTCTTACACATTGATATCAACAGAAGTAGAAGACATAATACAGTAGACATAATATATGAAGGTGTTATGGTGTCAAATAATAGACAAAATATTAGGTGAAAACTCATATGTAGAGGGTTAATTAGTAGTACAGATCCTTGGGACGTTGGTTGTAATAACTCATAAAGTTAAAAAGGCCTTTGATTTGTTTTACAATTACAAATGAACAGTCAGCTCTCTATTGTTCTAGGGCAGTGAGATGATTCCACAGGACAATATATGAACACATAAAGCTTTAACTGGTATGAATGTGATAAGGCATATTAACCCACTGAATCCACAATATCTATCCTGGAAAGATAGAGAAGGAATACTCCATATATAGCATTTCTTCATTGATGTAAAGAGTCTGAAGTTAGTCATACTCATCACTCATCATCAACCTTTCTGGCCTCGGATATCTTTGGTAATGGTCCAAAGAGGCACATACGCAGGGTACCCTCCAGTACTTTCTCATGAAAATAGCTCTTGTACAAATCCCACATCTCATCTCTGTCCAAATCATATAAGATAAGCGTTATAATAATTATATTTTCATTTCCATAGCACGGAGAATATAAACAATGTCTCCATATATCCACAGCTGACTAAAAAATTAGCACAGGGGTCGACTACAAGCTCCTAGAACTTTCTAGGTGGGTTAGGTGTCTGGTACTCCGGTTTAAGGTCTCCCAGGCAGGCTTTCACCATTCTAGCACCCAACTAGCACCTAAAAACTCCCAGGCAGTTTGTTTCCTCATCTAAACAGCCAACTCGAGCTCATAAAACAAAACTATTCATGCAAAATACCAAAATGAACTCAGTCAAATCGAACCTGACTTGAGGAAGTGTTAGCAGTGAATAGCCCTTGACATCCATTTGCATATCCAGCACAAGGACAGATAACCGCGACAAGCCTAGTGCCTCCATATCAATCAATTTCTTGATCCTGTAAATAGTTGAGAAATTTTTTATAAAAGCGATAAAAGACAATGATGCAAAGATAATTTCTTTTACATTTGGGAAAAAACTTTTTCCCTCTTTAGTTCAACAAGTCCCCAAATGAGGAGTCTAAGTTCAATTATAGAACATAACATGGGGAGCCACAATACCTGCTAGGTGTACCACTAGCAATATTAACACGGTTCTTCAGAACGGACACCTGCCAGTGAATGTAAAATATGAGTGGAGAATTAAATGCCCGTTTGTTAAGACCAAAATTGGTTGAATCTGCTCAGTTATGATAAAACTATATTTCAAATATATTTTATTTATAAGTAGAGAAAAATTCTATGGACAAAATACTAAAGTGGGCCTCTTTAACAAATTCAGCCAATTTGGCAGAAAAAATTACCACCAATCTTACATTTTTTTCATTATTAATGAATTCACCGTATAAAAATAATATAGTGTTTGGTAAAGTATCTGGTTGATAAGACGGACAACAAGGCTACCAAATGGGCACAGTGTACAACTCATTTAAGTGAGCAAATAGGGGAGTGTTTGTAAGCATATAAACGGCAAATGTTGTGATATAAGAAACAATGAGGTTTTATGTTCATATATGTCATATATCTAAACATATAAGTTTATTAACAAAAGTATAAGTAAAGAAGGGAAGAATCTCTTTCTTCTGTATATACAGGTACCAAATATTACTGGTGGTCAAGTTCCACCAAATGCTACCATGCCACTCCACATATATGCACGCTTCTTTTTTTCTGCTAGAATGTTGTACTTCTTATGAAGCATCATTCATCAAATTCTAATACATCAAAGATTTGCAATATAGTAAACCAAAACCTGCTCTTCAATCTTCATGTGCTTAGAGAAAAGCTTTGCAGCAGGGCATTCTCTAGTAAAAGGTCTCAACTCCCTGAAAAAAGCATCATGCGACCTCAATTAATTATTGAAGACCACATATTTAAGCGGCCAGTTTTGTACTTTCAAATAAACATGTCAATATGTCATACCTTAGAAGTTCCAGGGATCTTATAGCAGAAGAGCTAATCACAAGAAGCGCAGGATGGCCAGGTTCAACTTTCTCAGCTACAAGTGTATTTTTACAGAGAAGAGAATTCCATGAAGGTCCAAAAGCAAACTTCATAATCTCTCCAAGAGTTCTAGTGTTGTTAGTTTCATCTCGGAGGAGTTCAACCATGCAAGTATCTACATGATGCAGCAAAAGTATAAGTTAATTTGACAATACATACATCACCGGTTCAGTACTAACTATTATACCCACAGGGCCATAAGTATGAATATGTTAATATCTTATATCTCATACGCAGGGGCGGAGGTAGAGGGGTGGCCAACCGGGCTACGGCCCGCCCCAAATTTGATTTTTTTTTGTATTTTTAGTGTAAAAATTTATGTGAAAAAAAAATATCTGAAAAATTCTTTGTACCAGCCCAGCCCAACCTTCAATCCTAGCTACGCCCCTGCTCATACGGTTTGACATGTTTGAAAGTTGAATCAGCAAAGAAAAGATGGAAGATAAAATTGACCTATTCTTGTGTTCATTTTTAGATTTCTAATGTCCTTTACTGGGAGGAGCTTATTGACATGAATATGACTAGGTTTTGACAGTTAGCCAAGTTTATTCACAAAAGTATCACCCATCAAGGCAATGAGGAAAACTCCCGTGCTTTGGAAAAATAACAATTAAAAAAAGAACATGCCTAGGTATAACCTAATGCCATCTATTTCTTCGTCTTCCTCTATTTTTTCCTTCGAGAGAGTTACGCCCATCGGTCATCATTTTCCTTGTACCACTCTTACACGTCTAAAAATTGAGCATGAATTTTCACAAGGACAGACAATTTACCTGATACTTATTTTCTAAATTTTATTCATATCACCTAAATTTTAATATTTGGCATGCTTCCACACTTGGGGTCTAAAATGTGCGGGCACAATAATTATACACAAAATGGGTCAGACACATACTGAAGAGTGGCATTTTCCCCAACTCCATATTATTTTTCTCGTCGAGAGTTAATGAATCACATCCCCCAATTTCAATCTATTTTTTCCTTGCATACCGGTAACTGTGCCTATATCATTTTAATCAATTACCAACCTTCTTCTCATTTGATGCACTACTGCTTAATCAGTTCATCCCAATTCCCAATCTTGTCCATACTCTGTATTAGTCACATTCAAATATATATATATAAGTAGACATCAGCCAATACCCAGCTTTGAATTTCCACCAAATCTCTGCATATGGGTTGCACTTATATACTACTGGTATAGTGGTATATAACCACCCGCCCCACACCCAACAAAATGAAACTAAAATGTTTGGCCAATATTAGAAGCATTAACATGTGGAAGTAAAGCTGGAGCTGAACACTATTCATACATGTATTATTCATGTATATGTCCTTCCATCTTATTGAAATACAATTAGATAAAGGTAAACGAATGCGGCATAAAAATAAAAATGAACCATCTGTTAAACACTGAAGAAGATAATCCATGTAAAGTTGTGAATGACATATAGTCAGGGAAAGGAGAAACCTTTGAAGGATTCGAGCTCAAGAGAAGAAAGCTGAACGCGGTTGGCAGATTGGTATTGGTGAATAAAGAAGTCGAGCTGCTCAGAAACTGTTGGGCTCTGAATGACGCCGTTTCCCTTTTTTCCGGTACTGGTATTAGTCTTCTCATTCTCCATCTCCTTTTCATTCCCATTGCGTTTGTTTTTCTTCTTGGTCTTCAATTGCTTAGGCCGCAGGGACAACTCTTTCTTTTTCTTTTGCTTTTTACGAGTCTCTGAAAGGGCCTTCTTCTCCTTGCCGCTGCCCATTGGTCTAGGCTGTGAGACTCTCTCGGAGTGTGGTCGCCGGCGGCTGTTTCGTTAGGTCTTTGAATATTGCTCACCCCAAAATATCCCAAAATAATGGTTTCTTCCAAAAAATACTACGTATGTTTTTTTGAAGAGCCGATTCATTTCTATTCCTAATTTAATTAATTAATCTAAGGGAAAATCGCATATATGGTCCCTCAATTATTCATGTAATTAAAATCTCAGACCCGTATTTTTAAGATTGTAAATGTCACCCCTCAATTGTCTAAAATGTTGTAAATGTGGTACTTTTGGGGGTGAAATATACAATGTGGGCGAGAGCAGTGGCGTATCCACTATGGGGGCAGCGGGGGCAGCTGCCCCCACTCAACCCCAACCCAACCCCTATATATATGAGTCAATTCCCTAATTAGGACTAAAAAGTGGCAAAATTGCACAAATAGGACTACATTTTCTAAATTCCCTTAATAGGACTATTTATGTGTGTTTGAACAAATATACCCTTGTAACTTGTGAAATGTTTTAATTAATAATAAAATCATAAAAAAAATAATAAAAATCGAAAAAAAAAACTAAAAATCGTAAAACAATAATAGAAAATTAATAAAAATATTTTTTAAAAAAATTAAAAAAAAATTATTTTTTAAAAAAATTAAAAAAAATTAAAAAAAAAAATCGTAAAATTTAAAAAAAAAAAACATTACCACCCCCAGCTCCATCACCGGAGAAAAATATGCCAACATTTTAAATAATGCCATAATGATGGCATATTCAATGAAAATGTTGGCATATTGAAGAGTAATTATGCCATCTTTTTGGCATTTTCAGAAAAAAAAAATGGCAGTTTTTTATCAAAAGTGGAAGAAATTTCACCAATCGGAGGTGATGGTGTTGGGAGGCGACGGGAGGCGGTGGGAAAGGTATCCATAATTTTTTTCATTTTTTTATGGGTTTTTACTATTTTTTATTATTTTTAAAAAAAAATTAAAAAAATAAAAATTTAATTTTTTTATTTTATAAATGTTTTATAAATTTTTTATAATTTTTTTACGTTTTTAAAATATTTTTTACGTTTTTTTATGATTTTATTATGAATTAAAGCATTTCATTATGAATTAATACTCTTAGGGGTATTTAGGGTAGAAAATTAATGTTTTGTCCTATTTAGGGAATTTAAAAAGTAGTAGTCCTATTTGTGCTTTTTAGGAACTCATTAGTCCTATTTAGGACAATTTCCGTATATATATCCAAATTTTTACAAGAAATTGCTCAAATTAAGAGTTAAATGTAGAAAAAAAATCTAAAATAGGATTAGAAGTGTTTTCTTTAATATTAAAAGAATGAAAGGCTAAAAAATTCACTAAATTTTGTTATGTTTAAGACTGTTTAACTTATATTTAGGTAAATTTATTACATTTTATCGTCAATTACATCTTTACACACCTGTAATATAAATTAATCTTCTTTTTATTCATACTTGTACATAGATATTATAAACTAAATTTAATCAAACAATATTATTAATGTGATTTGTTGTTTGTGAAATATGAGACTAAATTGTAGTCAAGTTTGCCCCCACTCGCCAAATTTTCTGGATACGCCACTGGGCGAGAGTACATTTTACTACTTAAAGGACCACATTTACAATAATTTGGACATTTGAGGGGTGACATTTACAATCACAAAAATACAGGTCTGAGATTTAAATTTCGTGGATAATTGAGGGACCATATATGCGATTTTTCCTTAATCTAATTAATTATCCCCTAGTTTCTTTGGATAATCAGGTCAGTCCGTTGATGGCAATGACAAACTTCAGCGGCGGCAGATGGCAGCGACAGACAGTCAATTTATGGCGAAGAGGATTTCGGTCAATAGTTGAATGGCTCTAACCTTATAAGTTATTTTCGTCCAATCACAAATAAAAGCTCTATTTAAGAATGTTTAAACAATATGGTCCTATTTTTAGAAAATGGATGAGAAAATTGCTTTTGGTAGGACCAAAATATAACTTTCTTCCAAAAGTATAATCATATGTTTGGTTTCCCTTAAACGTGATTAATCCTTCCGTTATACGCCTAATCTAATTAATTAACCTAACTAATTGTCTCCCAATTCCCTTATATAATTGGGATTTAGGACAGTACGTCGGTGGTGGGGAAACTCGTGAAGGCGGTGGATTTCTGGCAACCCGGCAGAGGGTGTATGGGAAAAAAGTTTTTGCAATGACAGAATGATTTCGGCGAACTAGGCAATCTGGGGCAGCAGCTATAACCCTGTAAGGGTATTTTATCTAATCGCAAATAAAACCCATATTTAATAGTTTAAACTATTTGATACTATTTTTGGAAATTATATGATTGTAATCCGAGGTATTTCCCCAATTAAAATGAGGCTGTTGTGAAATGAAGAAGATGAAGAACAGATTTAAGAGATAGATATATTGATAACAAGCTCTAAATTACTTCTTCTTAATATCTGAGAAGTTCTGAGTTTCTAAATTAATTTACAAGGCTTCATCAAGCTCCTATTTATAGTGTTTGAGCTTGATGATTAGTCACCTAAATGATGAATCTACAGATTTGGTGGCAATAACAAATTGAGCCACCTATTCTAACTAGGTTACAAGGATCATTACAAAGATCAGGAACATCTTGGTGTCCTAGTGACAAGGATGAATAATTCACACTTGTTAATTTGATGGTTTTACAACACTCCCCCTTGAATGTTCATCCTTGAGAATAGTTATTTGTATTTAAAAATTTATTGTGAAGATTAGTGTGAAAATTAAGGGGTAAAGATTATGACATATAATGTCGTTGTATTTGGATGTACTGTCTCGTTAAAAACCTTATCAGGAAAAACCCAGTGGGATAAAAACCTGATGAAGGGAAAAAGAGTGCAGTGCATTCAAATACTCCCCCTGAATTTAGCATAAATTATTAAGGCGGCGCATTCCGATTTTCTGTACAAGTTCAACGAACTTCTTCGGGGGTAAAGATTTGGTGAAGAGATCGGCTGGATTTTCACTGGATCTGATTTGTTGAACGTTGATCGTCCCTTCTTTCTCAAGGTCGTGAGTAAAGAAAAATTTTGGTGATATGTGTTTCGTTCTGTCTCCTTTGATGTAGCCTTCTTTAATTTGAGCTATGCACGCAGTGTTGTCTTCGTAGATCACGGTCGGGTGATAAGTAATAGGCTTCATACCACATTCATTTTGGATGTGTTGAATCATAGATCGCAGCCATACACATTCTCTTCCGGTTTCATATAGTGCAATTAACTCCGAATGATTTGATGATGTAGCTGTCAACGTCTGTTTCATAGATCTCCACGAGATTGTGGTATTACCATAAGAAAATACGTACCCGGTTTGTGATTTTGCCTTTTGAGGATCTGATAAGTATCCGGCGTCTGCATATCCGATTAAAGAAGCTGTTGCATCTTTGTGGTAGAATAGGCCGAGATCAACTGTACCACGGAGATAACGAAATATGTGCTTGATCCCGTTCCAATGACGTCTTGTTGGACATGAGCTGTACCTAGCTAATAAATTTACAGAGAATGCAATATCTGGTCTAGTATTATTAGCTAAATACATTAAAGCTCCAATAGCACTCAGATATGGTACTTCGGGACCGAGTATTTCTTCGTCGTCTTCTCGGGGACGGAATGGATCATCGTGTATGTTGAGAGATCGAATGACCATTGGTGAAGTCAAAGGATGAGCTTTGTCCATATAGAATCTCTTCAACACTTTCTCGGTGTAATTGGATTGGTGGATGAAAATTCCATTCTTCAAATGCTCAATTTGAAGTCCGAGACAAAATTTGGTTCTCCCGAGATCTTTCATTTCAAATTCTTTCATAAGATATTTTGCAGTATTTTCAATTTCATCGGGAGTTCCAATAATGTTTAAGTCATCAACATATACTGCAATTATGGCGAATCCCGAATTTGATTGCCGAATGAAAACACATGGACTAATCGGATCATTCTTATATCCTTCTTTGAGAAGGTATTCACTGAGACGATTATACCACATTCGTCCAGATTGTTTTAGTCCATACAATGACTTTTGTAATTTAATGGAAAACATGTCTCGAGGTTTCGAGCTATAAGCTTCAGGCATTTTAAATCCACCAGGAACTTTCATATAAATGTCTGTATTAAGTGAACCGTATAAATATGCGGTCACTGCATCCATTAGGCGCATTTGCAGCCTTTCAAAAACAGACATGCCAATGAGAAACCTTAATGTAGTTGCATCCACTACTGGAGAATAGGTTTCTTCATAATCAATTCCCGGCATTTGAGAAAAACCTTGGGCAACAAGTCGGGCTTTATATCTAACAATTTCATTCTTTTCATTGCGTTTACGCACAAATACCCATTTAAAACCCACAGGTTTTACGCCTTTTGGCGTAGGGACTATCGGTCCAAAAACATCACGTTTTTCAAGTGATTTTAATTCAACCTGAATAGCTTCATTCCATTTTGGCCAATCGTGTCGTTTCCGACATTCTTCTATTGATGTTGGCTCATTGTCATTGTTTTCATTCATAACATTTGTGGCAACGGCATAGACAAATATCTCATTAATATCAATATCTTTTCGATTCCATTGCATTCCAGTAGAAACGTAATTTATTGAAATTTCATAATTATCAACGTTTCTATCAGTATCTGGAATATCTTCCTCATTTAAGGAAGTTGAATCATTATTTGAGATGTTTGTTTTGTCAATATCATTTTCTATGCCAGTATTTTCAAATTGTTCATTTTCTTGTTCAGAAGGATGAACATCTTTGGCATCACAGATCAATTCCTGCCTTTTAGTCTTTCTTGGTTTTATGTCTTTTGATCCAAGTGGCCTGCCACGCTTTTTGCGTATAGAAGAATCATTTGCGAGAGATTTTTCAGAATTCTCCGCTGGAATTTCAATTCTGGCAGGGGCATTCATAGCAGGAATATGTGACTTTGTCACTTTCTTTGTGTCTGTGAATGCATCAGGCAACTGATTTGCAACATTTTGTAAATGGATTATCTTTTGCACCTCTTGCTCACATATATTTGATCTAGAATCAAGATGTGATAATCCTGTTGCATTCCATG